ATATCAACAATTATCACATTTTAGATCTAACGTATTTTGGGGAACTCACTAACCTTTTACTTACAATTTGTGGTTTACATATTTCATGTTTTCTTATATTAAAGAAGGGGCACGGCTTGATTGCATCGCATCAATGGCGGACTTGTGTACTTGATAACTTTTAATGTTACTTTGATAAATGTATTAAGATATTGCAATTGTGATTTAAATAAATACTTAAAGTTTTAATCGAAAATTTTGGATTGTAATTTAGGGCGTTACAAAAAAAAGTTTTTTCAAAGTTTTAGCTGATATTTTATGTCTTTCTTTAAATAAAAAATAATTTTAGATTTTTTTATAAACTAACTTAAAATAAAAAAGATTTTTCTTTTCTGAATATTGTAACACCCGATCTCTGGTATGCTTCCTTTCAAGTAGTTCTTATGTTTTTCTTTGGGACTCGACGAGTTGGTGGCCCAACTCGTCGAGTAGAGTCGTGATCCACGGGGAGTTTAAATGACTTAGTCGACGAGTTGGGAGACTGACTAGCGAGTAGGTGCTGTTTGGGTGAAACTCTAATTTTGAGGGTTTGTGCCATATTTAAACAACTTATCCCAACCTCCACAGTCCCTATTACTCCCAGAAAGCATTATCTCGAAACCCTAGCCTTGTGTGAGTGTCCTAAGGCCATTTTGGTGCATTTTGGTGGATGGTGAAGCTTGAAAAGAGGAAGGAAGCTTGGGAGTTCGAGTTGCGGCTTGGAGATCCAGAGATTTTGTTCCATTTCCAACTCATTCAAGGTAAAATGCCCCTTTCTTTGTCTTCCATGTGTTTATTTATCCTTAGGGCTTGGATTTTGAGTATCTTTAGGGCTTTCTAAACCATTTTCGGATTTGTGAAGGGTTATATGTAGTTTTGACTTCATATCTGGGTCAATGGAGGGGTCTCGTGGCATAAAGGTGCCAACTCTATGGCCATGAAAGCCCCATGCACTTTGTAGAATGTCTTTTATGGCTTTTTGAGCCAAAGACCCCTTGCATGTGCACCAAGCTTGGAATTTTACGTGTAAAATGGACATTAAGAGGCCAGATCTATGGTTTTGATGTGTTCAGACTCATTCAAACCGACTGTATAGTAATGATCAAGGATGGACTCGGCGAGTCGGGGTGTAATGACCACCAAATTCTTTATGTTGATGGACCAGTTGATAGTGTGTAAGGTCCCTCAGTTGTTTAGGCTCATAAGGGACATGGGGATCATGGGACCCGACGAGTGTTCGAGCAAACTCGACGAGTCCAAGGCAATCTCCCAATCTTTGAAGATGAACTCGACGAGTTGTTCATACAACTCGGTGAGTCATAGTCTGGACGCATTCATATGTTGAAGATAAACTCAACGAGTTCAAGGAAAAGTTGAGTCGGTTGAAGATTAACTGAAGTGTTGTCGAAGGCGAATTCGTCGAGCTCTTGCTAGACTCGACGAGTGGGATGGGTTTGTAGTATTATGTAGATAAAGGGACTCGGCGAGTTGGCGGACCAACTCGGTGGGTCTGGTCAACCAAAGAGTTGACCTAACTAGGGTTTGACTTTGACTTGGATTCAAGTTAACCCTTGTAGGGGTTGTGAGTACAAATTGATAACTTAGCGAGATTGTCGTGTAGGGATTAAGGAGTCGAGGAGAGCCGACTTTCACACCAATGACAGTACAAACACTACACGACTTGGAGGTGAGTTTCCTTCTAGTAGGGGTGGGTCTACGACCACAATCCCGACCCACCAATAAAGGAGTTGCATGGATGGTTGTCTTAGTGATAATCATCTAGGATTGATGTGCGATATGATTACTGTGTTTTATATGATCATTGTATCTGATATGCTTGTTGTGCTTGATATGTATTAGCATGGGATGGAATAGTCCCCGGATACCGGTTGAAAGATACCGAAGGGGAGATTAGCTCCCGGTTACCGGTTGAAAGATACCGAAGGGGAGGGTAGTTCTCAGTTACCGATTGAAAGATACCGAATGGAAGGGTAGCTCCCAGTTACCGGTTGAAAGATACCGAAGGGGAAGGTAGTTCCCAATTACCGGTTGAAAGATACTGACGATTATGCATTATTTGGTATGGGTATGATGGGGGAACTCACTAAGCTTTGTGCTTACAGTTTCAGTTTTGGTTTCAGGTACCTCTTCGTCTAAGAGGAAGGATTTGGTTGTGTAGCAACGCATCACACACACATATGGTTTTCGTATGGAGATTTCTGGAATTGTACTATGATTTTTCTTGTTTTTGATAATATGGTTTTCATACATGTTGTTATGGCTTTTTTTTTTTTAAATTGATATGACATTGATAGTGTTTGGTAAACTAAGTTATAAATCTCATAATTAAAAATGAAATTTTTAACCTTAATTTGTTACAAATATATCCCTGAATCCCAAAACTAAGCACACACTCACACACAAACCAAATTTCAATTTTTAATCTTAAAATAAAAACCAAATTAAAAAAAGGTAAGAAAATAACAAACTGCCAACACAGTGTACGGCATTGAAAAAGACTGAAAACAAAATTTTGACATCATTGACCAGCCAACCAATATTAATTCTTCAAATATTAATACCACCAACCAAAATTGAAGATATATTAAAACCCCTTTACTGGTCTTCCCCTCCTTAATCCTTATGCTCCCTTCTTGTCGAGGTTTCTGAAAAAGCTTGTTGGTAAGAACATAATTTCAATTTAAATTATATTTCCTATTTTTACGTTTCTATCAAATCTATTTTGTCGCTTCACTTACTGATTTGTTACTTGTTTTTATCGTAATTTCTTGTGGCATTCTAGTAGCTTTACTCTATCATTACTATCTTTTAAGTTTACTTTCTTTGACATTGTTTAATCGCAATTGTCGAATCTACTGGTCTGATTTTTTTTAGCAATATTGGGTTGTTGGTCTTAATTTTAGGTTAATGTGTTTTAACTTTGAACCATGATTGTTGGATTATTTATTTATTTATTTATTTTTTAAGCGAAAAATCTTTGAGCTCGTTATTCTTGGTTATTTATGTTCTAAAATGTTTCAATATTGATGTAACCCTACATACCAAATGCTAACATATAGAGATTTTATTTACTACTTATAGTTAATATTATCCTACTTATGTAAAATTTATAGATTTGAAAATTAAATTAGCTCAAATAGGCTTTATGATATTCACATTAGTTGTATTTGTTGGAAATTTGGGTTTAGTTTTCATTTTCTTTTTTTGTCAACAGATGTGACCTTATAAAATGTTTGAATCAACCTAGTAACATACAAATTAACGACCTAGAAGAGGAGGGAGAACTCCATAGGTTTGTGCAGATTCGTTTTCTTTTCATAAACTTGTATAAGATGAGATCTCATGGTGATTATCTTGTCATGATTGTTGGAATTGGTGGTCTCGGAAGTATCTTTGTTCCGCAGCAACTTGATTAACAATACAGTTTGTTTTCCTGTCTTGGACTGGGACAATCGTAGACACGACCTTCATACTATCCAATGTTTCTATGCATCTGCCACAAGGACAACAAAGCACGCGACATCCCATTTTACACAAAATTGGTTTGAGGAAAACTTTATCGGACACAGGTTGCAAACTCAATTGTGTGGGTGTTGTTGGATCGGAAAATAAGGAATCTTATTTGACAACAAACTTTCATGTCTTTATGAAAATACAAAAAAGTTATAGTATGTTTGTTGATATTATTTTGTATATTAATTCTATCAAATCGCAATTTAAAAGGTGTTTGAGATTGTTTTTTACTCTCTAAAATGACTTTTGACAATAAGGACTTATAAACTTATGACTTTTTTAAAAGAAGTGTTTCAATTAGTTTTTTATGGAAAAAGTCAATAAGTTAAAAAGTGTTTAACTAGCTTTTATATGTAAAATGATTATTTTTTAAACTTAATAAGTCAATAAGTGATAAGGAGTTTGTATCTTACCCTTTTAAAAACTCATTTTCAAAAGTTTAAGTAGAAGTTGTTTTAAAAAGCCTTTTTTCCTTTACCAAATACTTTTTAAAATTTATTGACTTCTCAAATAGTCAATAAGTGAAATAAAACATTAAATAATGAATTTTTAGATGAAATACCAAACATGCTCTTAATTGGTTAAACTCGTGTGGATGGCTTTAATGTTTTATTTCACCTTCTCAACTAATAAGTTAAAATCAATCAAAAATCTTTTAAAATATAAAAACACAATACAATGATAAAGACGTACGTAACCTTCAATTCCTTTGATCTACATTTTATTTTAAAAATATATTTCAACTCCTTTCATTTTCATTCTATTTAAAAAGATATTTATTTATAAATCGATAGTCGCCAACATTTTGGTCAACCACAGTCAATACTTAAAAAAAAAAAAAAAAATCGAAAGTATAATACCACAAAAACAAAACAAAAGAGAAACCATAAAAAGTCGCCAACATTTTGGTCAACCAAGTTTTATAGTTTTTTTTATTATTATTTTTTTCCTACGTAGACGTTAATAGTTAGTTGGTTACAATAAGAAAAAAAAAAGTTGGTGGTTTTCAGTGAATATTTTAGCACTAAATATTCTTCTAAAACCATTGATGTTTTACAAAACTTTCTATTATGGTCACTTTATCCTGCTATAATGCATAGCAAATCACAGCATTGCAAAATGAAACAACAGAATTTTCAAACATGGGTGGCTTCGTTGACAAACTATGAATTTTATGTTATTTGCCTAAATAAAAAAAATAGGATGCTATAATACAAAAAAATATATGCCTATAATTCTCTTGCATTTAGCCCTTTTGTTATTTCTAATATAGTGTTGTTAATTATTATTCACTTTGGTTCCTACAGAATGAGTGATTTTTTTCAATACAAGCCTTACCTGAGTTTGGTTTTTAGAAAACTTCAGCGCCCATTAATAATGTATTTAAATGGGTGATACGATATATCCGGTTTATTCATATAAAAAGACGTAAAAATAAGAGTTAGAAATTAGCAAAAAATAAAATTAACTTATAAGTAACAAAATTGTTGTTAATGTTATGGTATACCAAATTATGAAATGAACAACCTCTGTACACAAGTGAACGAACCCTAAACTAAAGCCCCTCTACTCTTTTGCTAGTGAGGCTGCTAAGAATCTGTGAAACCTTTCTACATTTCTTTGACTTTTATTCCCACATGATGATGATTGACTTTTTCGTCTTTCTCGAAAAAAATCATCTTCCGTATCCAGAACATACGATATCTGCCAAATCCATTATAAAGTATAAATTTATATTTATTTATATAGAATACAAATTATTTTATTAAAAAAAAACAAACAATTTGTACCTTTGAAGAGCAACAAGACATCTTATACTCCAAACCATTCACCACATGAGCACCTTCCATGGCAACCGATAAAGCACAAGATTCATCCATCTCCATGAATCGCCTTTTATTTCTGTTTCCATTCAAATTTTTATTATAGCATATAAATAAAATAATACACAAATAACAAAAGTAGAATGATTTTTATTTTGTTACCTGTTCAGCATAATGCCAGATTGTTTTTTTGCATTAACAGCAGAAAGAAAATCTTTATGAAGATAATTTGCAAAATTAGAATCTACAGAAATTGGAACCACTTCTGGTTTTTCAATCCCATCATCCATTAGTTGAATAGTCAAACGAGAAGGCCAAGATGACTGCAATAAGTAAGTAACAAAATCAACAAATATACAGAAATTTTAAAAACTAAAAAAAAAAAAAAAAAATACAACTTACGCATTGAAATCTGTAAATATTCTCATCATGAAGGACGACATGGGCGTTTTCGTAATATACCGAATCGATAAACTTCTCGGGTTTTCGAGATTTTTCGTATTCGTATAATTGTAGAAGTTTATTATCGATCTCGTCACCTACAACACTTTGAAGCTGCACACACAAGGGAGTAATTAGATAATTTAAATTACAACTTAATTAAAAAAAAAATGAGGAAAAAAGAAAAAGTGTAGAGAAATAAATACCTGTTTGACGATTTTGTAAATTAGTTTATCCAATGTGAATAAAATATAGGATTGATTTCCAAAAATGGCACGACAATCGTCTTCGAATTTTGCATTATCAGCAACACCATCAAGTAATTTGTAAAGAGAGGTCATAAATCTGTTATATAATGAATAATAATGGTATTGCATTAGAGGTCAAGATTTGATATAATAAACTAATAATATAATGTTTTACTATTTAAAATGGAATTACATGGAGTAAAGATCAGAAGGGGAAGAATCTTTTGTGGTTTTTCGTTTTGCTTCAGCTGACATTGAATTGAGCTTTGCAGATAAAAGTCTGTCGTATAATACCTGAAAGAAAATTAATAATAAAATATAATCTTTGGTAAAGTAAAGATATAAAGAAACAAAAAGTGTGTTTGGATTTGCATTCTGGATTAAAAAAAATAATAATAAAAATAAAAAGGAATTCTTACTTGGTGAAGTCTAAAAAGCGTATAAAACGCATCATTCCCGTAAAAAACACGGGAATCTTTTTTTTCACCACCACATGAAGAAGAAGAAGCAACACATTTCGCCAGGGGCTTAACGGTCCGTAAAAAATGCTCAGATGGAGGTAATAAATACACGGAATCCTCAATTCCATTCCCTTCTCCTTCACTTTCCGGTTTACATTCGTCGTCCTCCTCCTCCTCCTCCTCCCTGGAACCACCGGATTCATCGCCGGAAATGTCATCACCGCCACCGGAAACATCTTCATTGTCATCATCATCACCATCTGCTTCCAATTCCCCTTTATGTGTCCCATTGTCATTATTGTCTTGATAGGTTGAAAAATTGAGGTCATCAGAATCATGATTGGGTGATAATTCCCCCTCTTCTTTCTCCACTTTTGATGACTCACCAGCATTTCCATTTCCCATTGCTATACATCTACTATCCATGGGCTGTAATTTCTAAATAAAATAATTTATTTTTTTTAACTTAATACACAAAGTAAGGAAAAAAATATATTCATCTAGCGATTTGTATAAAATAAATGTTAACAAAAAATAACATAGATAAAAAAAAATGGGTGATATAAAGTTTTACCTGTGAGACAGGAACCTCATGAATATTTGACTTTGCTTCATGACCATTTTCGGTAGCATTACTTGGTCTAGTAGTCGCCTCACGCCCTTAAAAATCCATTTTCCAAATTAAATTTAAAAAAAAAAAATGAGACAAGTTAATTAATTAATTGCAAAAATATCATGTTACTTCTTACCACCCTCTTTCTCTGGTTGAAGTTGAAGCCCATCTTCCTTTACTAAAGTAGCATCTCCATTTACCAAAATACCCTTTCCTGAATCTGACACACTGGATTCATCCCGTGATTGGACACCAAGAATTGCTTCCAAGAAAGTTGTCCAGAGATTTAAAACTTTGTTGGATTGTTCTTTTGTTGTGCAAATCTCTTGACATGAATATTTAATAAGTTTGAATGTATCTTCATGAATATCATTATCAGAATACTCAAATTCAAGATTTGGCATGATGGAATGTCGGTTTCCAGCAGCAATCGAAAGAAGAATATCTTCATCTGTCTGACTCTTTCCCTTTATTTCCTTAATCTCACTCACCAATGCTGTTTTTTCATAACAATAACAAAAAAAAAAAAAAAGTCTCCATGATTTTTGTTTAAAATAAAAAGAGAAAAGAAAGTAAGCAAAGTTTAGTTACATTTTATGCTGAGATTCTTTGAATCTTGTTGCTTGAAATAGAAGCTTCGGTGATCGAGTGATTTGTAATGATTTTTTGCATAAATTTCAGCCCAAACTTTATTAAAATCTGATTTACATTTTGTCCACTCATCTTGTTTCTGTTTGAGACGATTTAACATAACAGGCAATGAAGCTGATGGATTTCTTCTAAGAGTTTCCATGGCATCAAGACCATGATCACCATATAATCTCTCCATGCATCTCAAATTCAAAGCTACAATAATTTTATAAAAATCATTACATTTACATATCATTCTAAATCATGGAACTACAAGATGAAAATGTTGGTAAGTGAAATAATATAGAATAGACTAAATTACATTTTCGGTCACTGGGAATAGCTGATATTTGCAAGTTTGGCCCTTTTTTGATGTTTCATAACAATTTTTTGGTCCATGAATTGTTAAAATGGTAATTTTGTAAAAAAACCTATTCAGGGTGGGTCTAAATAAATACAATACATCGAATAAGGACTAAAACTGTAACAGAACTTTTTGGGACCAAAATTTTTTATAAAAAAAAAAAAAATACGAAAAATGTAATTTACTTTAAATAATAATAATAAATACCAGTGAAGTAGTCTTCTATACGGATGGGAGTTTCTGGAGTGATTGTCTTGTTGTTAATGTTGTTCAATAATTCCTCAACACGTTTTGCAGTTGAACTTACAGATTCCAACAACATATCTAGTTCAAACCTGGTGGAAATCATAAAAACAATAAGTCCCTTTATAAAAAAAAAAAAAAAAAAATTATATATACATATTTTTCTTTTTAATGATTCTTTAAAAGTACCTACCTGTCATCCTCACATCTGAAGAGACTCTCTTCATATTGGTTTCTCCGCATATGTTTAAAAGAATAATCCTCACTACCAGAAGTCACAGACACCCATAAATCATTTAGGACTTGAGTACCAAGTTCTGATCTTTGACTAACTGATGGGATTGGATACTGTAAAACATTAAAAATATATATATATATATAAAAAATAAAAATAAAAAACAATTTACAAAATGAAAAAGAAAACTGAAAAAAGGTGAAATATAGACTGACATACATCATCAGGAAGAAGTCTGTAACTAGGAGTACAACGTTGACAATCAGATAAGTCAAGTTCTTGAATAGATTTTGCCCAATATTTCTCTTTGTATTTGTCCTCTTTTGCAGCAGCATTATGATCCCTCTCTTTCTCATCTGTCCTAGTTGATTTCGATGCATGCCCTTCATTCCATAAAGATTCTATCAAAAAAAAAAAAAAGAATTTCAGCCAATAAAGAATCAATTATAAAAACCGTAAATTGACAAAAAAAAAAAAAAAATTACTTTTGTCCATAACACCAGCGAGAAATCCATCTGGAAACAAGATAAGTAAGTGTCAAGTGTCAACCAAGGGGTGATTAAAGGGTAAAAAAGTAATTATTCAAAAGTTGACTAGGTAAGTTTGACTTTCACCTATATTTCCCCCCAAAAATGTTCTAAACCCTTCCATAAGATCCGGGTGCTTTCCAAGTAGATCAGAAACCTTAATGAAAAAAAAATAAAAAGTTACAGATATTAAATTGTATTCCAATAGATTTAATACATTAAATAAAAAGAGCATATACTATTTACATACCAAGCTTTGCAATTCCTTTCTTGTAATTATATCAGTGGTGTAGATGTGAAGACACTTCAAGAATGCTTGATAATCATCATGATTACGTAACCTATCCTTCACTTTCTCACAGAAACTAAATTCTGCACTATACATATCTGTAAATAAATAATTAATTAATTAATTACCACGATTGATTAATCAAAAGATATACACATGAAAAGAGTTGACTCACTTTTTAGGGCATCTTTATCACCATATGGAGCAGAAACTGAATGGACTCCAAAATCTTCAGATTTTCTTTTTTCAAGACGATTCATGTCCTTGTTATTAGTATTATCAATATGAGTCTCTTTATAGTCTTGATCAGAATTTCTCCTATTCTGATTCTCAGATCTCTTTCTTTGATCTTTTTGAAGTCTCATTGCTGTTTTATCATCTTCATCAATATCACGGTTTTCAAGATCCCTATCTGCATGTGAAGCAATTCCCCTATCTCTCCGGTTTCGTTGCTAATTCCATCAAAAAGTTAGCCCCTCATCAAAAATTTTAAAAAAAATAAAAAAATAAATCAAGTCATCAACTTACCTTGTCTAATTGTGTTTGTTTGAGTGGATTCATAGCTGAGCTTCGTTCATCATAACGATTATAAGAATGTCTACCATGTGAAGCATGATGTGCAGAAGCATCTGGTAAAAATCTTGTGAATTCATCAAGAAGATCGCGTTGATCTTCAAAAAGTGAAGCAACCTGTATAGATAAATGATAAAAACTGAGACAAAAATCTTGTGTGTTTGTGTTTGTGTTTGTTTAAGACTTAAGTTTAAGTTTAAGTTTATTATTATTCCAACCGAGTTTATTGGTTAATATATCATTTTGAGGAAAAGCTTACAGAAGATCACCTCATGGTAGACTTCTTTGATGCCCTTGTGTTCTCTTCGATACATGTTCAAGATTTCCAAAAATGACTTGTAAACACGATCATCGTTTTGGAAACGATTCTGAAAACCATAAACATTAGAATGTACATATTATTATTAAAAATTAAAAATATTAAATGTTGACATGTAAAATAGATACCTTTATTTTGTTTACAAAGCTTATAGCTTCTTCAAACTCTACTGTTCTTTTTGGTGGAGGCTCTTCCTCTTCAATTACAGTAATTTCATATCCTTTGGGCAAAAAAGTGTTGAACCCAAAAATTAAATTATTGTGACCTTTAAATAATTCTTTGACCCTTGCGATAACACCAGTAGTATCGATTCTGCACCAAATAAGTATATAATCAAATGAGTTGCAATATATCATTTTAATGTCAAAAGCAAAACTTTTGATTATATATTTATGTACCTTTGAGCTTTGAAATCTTTCATTACATCAAGAAACAGGTCATATTTTTCTCTTTGGTCATGGAACATGTCCTTGACTTCTTTTAGATATGTTAATGCATCATTGGTGGTGAGTTTTTGTGCACTACTACCACCTCCTGGACCACCCCCACCGCCGCCACCACCGCCACCTCCTCCTCCTCCTGCCCCTCCCCCTACCTCCCCTACAACTTCATCTCCAGGGACATGAGGTTGACCATATCTTCAAACAGAAAACAAAAGTCTAAGTGAGCAGCAGTTCATCTTGGTATTATATCATTCATAGCATATCAAATGTTTAAAAAAAGTTGTAAATTGCACATGCAATCCTTTAAA